AGATCTGGAGTGGGCAGAGGAGAGGGACTCCACACCTCCGGCAAGACTATGGGCCGCACTTTGGGTCACAAGGGAGTCAGGGCACTACCTCTCCCTCTGCACCCACACCTTCTTGCCCGACTTCAGGGTCACCTGCCTCCCCCTGCAGGTTCCTAGAGAGTCTGAAAATGCCTTGAGCACTGCGGCCCCAGGGCTGTGCCCAGAGCTGGGACAGCCACCCTGCCCTCTGCTCCCTGGCGAGTCGAGGACAAGGACAGCTGCTTGTCTCCAGGCCTAGCTGAGAGTGGGAGCCCTAGACAGGACTGGGCCTCCAGTGCCAGAAACCTGAGCGAGCAGCTGGAAGGTGCTGCAATGCCTCACACGGCTTCTGAAAGGAGGCTCGTCCTCCTGTGCCAGGGTCAGACGTCCACCACACCCGTAGAAAGCCCAGCCGTCGGGGGGTCTCCGGCCGGCAGGAATCCGCGGTGCCTCTCCCTCTGTGGCAGGCGCTGCTTGCTGACCTGTGCTCTGGTCTGCTCTCTCTCCTTGAGGAAGCACCATGGCAGCTGCTGTCTGTCTTCTTAAAGCCTTGCTCAGTCAAGCCGGGCGTTTAGTGTGCCGCACAGCGAGGCTGTCACAGGGCCGCCGTCCCAAACCCCTGTCCACGTGGCCCGAGCGGTTCCCTCCACTGCCTCTCTGCTCCCAGGGAGCGGCCTTCGATTCCCGAGCTCCTTAGTTTTTATTTTCTCTCATAACAAGATGAAATACGTTGTTTGAAAATGTGTTTTTTATTTTCAAATCCTCTTTAAAGCACGTGGGTGGGATGAGGAGGAGTGTCACTGCCAGGACAACCGAGGAGGCCGACGCTTTGGGAAGGTGGGGAGCTGGGGTGGCTGTGGGGGGCCTAGCTGGCTGGGCGAAAGGGGCTGAGGCTTCGCGTGGACGCCCCAGCCTGAGCAAAGGCACAGAGGGCGGGATAGATGCGGGATGTGGGTGTCACGACAGACTCATCTAGGCAAGGAAAACGAGAGTCAGGCCAGACGCTCACGAGAGTCCAGGGACCTGGACTTTGAAGGGCTCTTGGAAGGCGAGGGACCGTTCCTTGAACTAAATAACTCTCTTCTTCTTGTCTCGTTTTCCTCTCTAGAAACGTCCCAGAAGCGGTTCTGATATTTGTTCACTCCCGTTTTTGGCCAAGATCTGTCAGGAAATTAAACTGTATGTATACGAGTTTAGCGTACGACGCCTTTGCCTGTCCCCCCTTTCTAAGGACTGAAACGGCCCCACAGTTAAAAGACATTTTCCTGAAGGTGAAAATGTCTCTTGCTGCAAATATGACTTGAACAGAGACAGGAAGAGGAAAACCTCTGAAAAAGATCATTTTAAAGACGTATATGAAGGTCTTCAAAGGTTCATAGAGAACGTGGGACCAGCAGTTAGCGTAATGGCTATGTCACTGGACTCCCACGTAGTCGACCGCGGTTCAGGTCCCGGACCCGGCGACTTAAACTCACACCAGGCGCGTGTGCGTGCGTGCCCAAGATCCCGAGAGGAGAATGGAGGAGAAGGGATTGTGGCGTGGCCACCCCCTCCGGGGGTGATTTCTCACTTTCTGTCTCTTTGTTTCTCTCTCTCTATGTCTGGCAAGCACATGCACCCTATAGCGAAAACCTCACAAAAAAAAACAAAGTTCATAGAAAACGTGTCCTATTTATGCGTGAATTTTTTTAAATTTTGTGTCAAAATGAACCCATACTCTCTTTCCCCTTTCTGCAACATTTTTGAAGGCCCCTCATAACGTGCACGTTTTAAATGACTGCAGGGAGGAGAGAGGGAGAGAGAGGCAGATATTCTGACCCAGCCTCCCCGTGTTGTGGTCCTGCTGCCCCAGCCTCGCGGTCAGGCAGGACCACAGGCGCTTGCCCCCGTGCCTGGGCTGTGGAGGCTAGGCCTCCCACGCAGCCTCAGCCACCTCACAGCAGACCTGGCTTCCCCCGCTCCGCCACGGTCAGGCCGCCTTGGAAATACACTGCACCCAGTCTCTGTGGTCTCACAGCCCAGCTGTGCCCCGGGCTGGAATGCAGTCCACGATGAGGTTTCCAGCTCAGGTAACTCGCTGGCCCAGGGGGTCAGCCCCCTAGGCATGTAAGATGCAGGCCAGGCAGGCCCCTGGCCATGGCAGGACCTTAGAGCATCTGCAATGCACAACACTCACAAGACCAGAAAGGGGTTACCTTTCCACATGCCTGAAAAATCTGTCCCCTATAAATATGAATAGGGTTCTGAATAGAGACATTGTGTGGGACCCCCCTTTAAAATGACATACTCTGCTCCGCTTGGCCACCGGAGTCATGCTAAATGCCGCAGAGCTCATGTCCAGTACGTCGAGAGGGGCAGCGTGTCGAGGGCTGGCTGACTAGAGCCTAAACACCCTCCCCACTCAGCTGCCCCCATGGACGCTGCTGTTCCGTGGGAGGTGGGAACAGAGGGCAGGGCGCTGGGTGTGCGGTGCTGAGCGTCCCGGTTCTCACCACAACCCTGAGGGTATCTTCACCCGCGTTTCACTGAGAAGGAAACTGAACCTTAGAGAGTTCTCCTGAGGCCACAAGGACCCGAGATATGCCCCTTGGTGTATATTTTTAATTCCCCCAGGGCATGTGTGCTCAGCAGAGATGGAGGGAGAGGGAAAAGCCCCTCTGATGGGACGTGGTGGCCCGATGACCCTCTGTCCTCCATTTCTCCGTCCTGCTGGTGTTTGGGCCGTGCATGCACATGAGCCTGGTGTGGTGTTTCCGTGTCACTGAGGCCGGGGCTAGAACCACAGTCAGCAATGTGGGACCCCCCTCCCAAGAACACCAGGTCTGGATTAGGGTCCATTCACTTAAGTGTATCGATGTGCTTCCTCCACAAGAAGAGGGCGGCATCCCGCGGGGTCACGCCCGTCGTATCGTGGTTTGGACGCACCTGTTGTGTGCTGAGAGCTCTCGGAGGTGAACCCAGGACACGCGTGAGCATCACGCAGCCTGTCCTCCCGCCACGCCGTATCGAAGATCACAGCACACCTCAGAACCACCCGGAAAGCTCTTCAAAGTCTCCGTTCCTGAGCCCCAGACCTAATGGGAGAGCACCGGGTAATCGGAAGGTTCTCAGGTGGATCTAAAGCAATGGCTCCCACATGTGGCCTCTGGTCGTCCCTACCCTCCCAGTGCTCACCTCCAATTTGGTGCCGCTCCAAATACCGCCCTTTAGCTGGGGTGAGCCTTCAGACAACCCGGCCCTGCTCCTTCCACTCCCCTTCTCCCACAGGCAGCTCCTGTTACGTTAGCCTGTTCGTTTTTCCGGTCCCTTTTCTTATTCGTGGTAAATTCTGTGCACGCAGAGAGAGGGAGCAGAGACATACATGAGCACCCTCCACAGGGTCTGGGCACAGCACGACCCCTCCCTCCAGCCCTCCAGCCCGTCAGCTCCTGGGCACTCGTACGCACGCTCTGCGTGTTCCAGGGATTCGAACCACGGGGTCGTGCGGGAGTGGCTTCTCTTGAGCAGCACATTACTGCCACACCTCAGAGCCAGGCCCCCTCCGGCCCACTCCAGTCCAACCTGGTACGCATTGTGGGGCGGGGAGTCAGTGCTGAGAACCCCCGGAAGTGAGAGTTGGGCTGTGGTCAGGACCGAGAGGTCACCTTTCTTTCCTGTGGCCGCTGGACAAAAATGCCACAAACGAGACCACTGAGACCACAGAACGCCCTCTTGTTCTGAAGGCCTTGCGGCGTGAGGTCAGGGCGCAGCAGAGCGCTGCCCTCTGAGAAGCCGGGCAACACCCTGTCCCTGCCTAGCCTCTGGTGGTAGTCGTCAGTCCTGGGCGATTTCTTTTTTTGGCTTGCTGCTGCATCTCCCATCCCTGCACTGTCTCCACATGGCCGTCTTCCCTGGGTCCCTGCCTTTTCCTTTTCCTCGGTGAGGTTTTTGCTTTAGGGCGCATGTGCTCACCAGGGAGCGAGAGACAGTGAGAGGGAAAATGAGAAATCACGCCCCGGGGGCATGTACAACTGCAGTCCCTTCTCCTCCATTCTCCTCCAGGAGTGGTGGGCATACATGCACACATGCCCATCATGATTTTTAAGCACTGGGCCCAGGACTTGAACCACTGTCAGCCATGTGGGAGTCCAGCAAAATAACCGTTAGGCCATCTGCTAACCCCTGTCTGTCTCCTGTATAAGGACACCAGTCAGGCTGGATTAGTGTTCATCCTAAGATCTCATCTTGGCTTGGCTTCATTTGCAAAGACCCTATTTTCTCTGTTTGTAATTTCTGAGTTCATATAGTCACTTTGTATCTTTGCAGGGCACATTATTGTTTTTAAAAGCATGGGGCCTTCAGGTGGCTTAGTGTTTAAGGCACTGGACTCCCACCTGAGAGACCATGGTTTGAGTCCCAGACCTGATGGCTTGAGACTCACACTTGGGCGCGTGTGTGTGCATGCCCAAGATCCCGAGAGGAGAATAGAGGAGGAGGGACTGTGGCGTGGCCATTCCCCCTGGGGGGTGATTTCTCACTTTCTCCCTCTCTATCTCTCTCTGTCTGGTGAGCGCATGTGCCCTATAGCAAAAACCTCTCTGAAAAAAAAGGGTGTTTGGGATTTTCCTTTATGTTGTCCCCATGTTTAATGGTTATTTTTCCATTCTTTTTAGTTGCTTGGACTAAATTGAGGTTTTGTCTTCAAAGTCAGAGGGTCTTTCTTTTGTGTGGGTCTAATCTGCTGTTGATACTTTTGAGAGAGGTTTTGATTTCCTGCATCATATTCTTTATCTCCAGAAGTTCTGTTTCTTTTTCAGGGTGCCTGTGTTTTTATGGAATTCTTCCTTCAAGTCATGGAAGTATTTTCTTCATTCTTGCAATTGATTGTCTGTTTACTCTTGCATCTCACTGAGTTGTGTTATGATGAATATTCTGAATTCTTTTTCTGACATTCCTGTGATTCTTTTTGTGTTTTATCTATGATTGGTGAGGAGTTACCATACTCCTTGGCTGGGAGGTGTTTCCTGCTTTTCTCCTATCTCTTGGGACTGCTTTGATTTTTAGTCCTCTGGTGATGTGCTCACTTCTGCCTACTCATTTGGAGGAGGTTTCCATAGCTGTGTGCCCGAGCCCTTCCCCGTGGTGTGAGTGAGCTCTGTGCCAGTTTCCCTTCTCTACTGTGGCCAGGAGTGTGGAATCCACAGTGGGAGTTTTGAGTTTAGGTTTTTCACAAGGAGTTCTTTCCCTTTACTGCTGGGAGATTGTGGAAAGAAAATTCCTCCAAAGCCTCCCTGTCTTCAGGAGTTTGGTTCCTCGTACCCAAACCTCTGCTTCCATGTGGGTGGAGGCCAAGCTGGTCAGACAGCATGTAAGACGGCGGTCGATTCATACACCCGGCGCATGGGCCAGGCCGCCCCTTCTCCCTGCTCCTGCTGGGCGGGGGCCTTTCGTGATCAGCTCGGGCCAGAGGACCTTTGTCACCCTGTTGTTCCATCTGTCTCTGGGACAAATGCCTATTTTCCAAAAAGAGCACACTGGCAGGGATCAGGGTTAGAACATCAACATATCTTTTTGGTAAACAGAATTCAATCCCTACGAGAGGCACTTGTCCTCTGTTCTACCAGCTTCCCCTCCTGAGTTTCGTGGAGCTAAATCCACTGAACATCTCTACTGTGCTTGAAAATATCTGGAGGGAGGAGGAAAAGCTATGATTTTGACCCACATTCAGGGCTTCTTTGTAATCCAAAAGTTAAAAGCTTTTCCTAGTTCACCTGCCAGCGTGAGCTGCTGCCAGCCAGCTGTGCAAAGCCCTGGCCTGGGTCCCAGAAACAGTGGCAACACCCCGTTTTCAGTGGTAAATGCAGAGAGAATCGAGGAGGAGGGGAAATAGCGACCCGAAAGTGGCTACCGAGAGGCTGAGATGCAGCCAGCTCCCCAGGATCCGTCATTCCGTCATTCCAGACTCCGGTCTCTTCGCCGAATGCATCTTGCCTTTTCCGTGTCACACGTGGGCTGGCAGGACACAGCAGGGCCGTGGGACAACTCTTCTCATTGAGCCACCTTCGTTTGAAGACTTGAATTCAAGAGTATCAGTGGCCGAGGATTTCCCTGGCCCAATTTAAAAGGGAGATTAAAAAGTGTTTCTTTTTCTGAAAATCATTGTACTTCAAGTATAATTCATCCCAGGTCATAATTTGTTC